GACATCAAAAATCATTGTCCTTGACTATGAAAGAATCCACTTGGAAATAAGTTGACAAAACTTATCTAAATTATTCAGTGAAATATGAAGGTGCATAGTCTGTATAATTACTGACTGCATGTGCATAATATATATATATATATATATATATATATATATATATATATATATATATATATATGTGTGTGTGTGTGTGTTTGTGTGTCTGTGTGTGTGTGTGTGTGTGTGTGCTTGCTCGTCTGTATATATATGTTTGTGTGTTTTGCCATTCCTCGGAGCTGTTATAGCCTTCGTGTCTTACCGGGTTTGAATCTCAGTATGGTCGAAAAATCAAGGCGTTGACTTCGTTAGGAATGATTGAATTAGATATCCTAGATTTACTGTATGCTCTATGCTAACACATTCTTCTACCGCACTTCTAGCTTGTGGAGAGCTTTTCCGGCTTCTAGCTTTCCATGACAACATTGATCTTTATAAAAGAAAATGCTGTCCTTTTATTGTCCTTTCTTCTTAATAGAAGCTTATCACTTATTCTCTAGCACACAATAACTTCTTTCTTTGTAGTTAATTTATATCATTACTTGGGAATGAAATGATTATACACACACATAGTTCAGTTCGACATTTCAACCACCTGAAGAAGGTCGGAGCGTACAACAACCGAAACGTTGTGATAAATATGGCAATAAAGATGAGGATTATAGTCCGAATAATGTAAATTGTCTACATAATACCTCATCTCAGAAACATAGACAGATACTGAATTCCATATTACTTGATATGAAAGGGTGGTTGTTCGGTCGCTTTATCCATGATCTCTTCAGGTTAAGTTACGTTCCTAAACATATTAAACCTTAGTGTATACGACATGAGAAGAAATGAATGTGGGAAACAAATATTACCAGTGGGAAAATGCTGGTTTGGCCAGTGAAAATTAAGAGTACATATGAAATAGAGCAAAATCATGATTTTTTTAAAATCTAACAATGGTGCCATTATTAATAATAATAATAATAATAATAATAATAAAAAGAAGAAGAATAAGAAGAAGAAAAAGAAGAAGAATATGACGAAGAAGAAGAAGAAGAAGAATATGATGAAGTAAATGAATATATTGTAAATTGTAATTAATGAAGAAAATAAGAAAACTGCCAGACTATTTTCAGCCTCCCATCATCATGGCTGATGCTTACCACCAGGTGAAGGACACGATCTGACATCTCAGGTTAACATTTTCGGCTGACATGAAGTGGAAAGACTATAATGAATCTATTGCTAGGTTCGCTGTTAATAAATTTAGTTCACTGTGCTGTGCGAGACAATTTATTTATCTCCAGACTCTACTTTACATATCCATGCTTAAAATATTGCTGTTACATATGGTCCGATGCTCCTACTAAATATTTAGACATCCTCGATAACATCTAAAGAATCAGCAATATTATTGGTCCTGACCTGGCGTCTCTGCTCCAGTTACTTTCCCACCGTGGTGTTGTTGCTTCCCTGTGCCTTTTCTATACGTTAAGGCGCACCTCGAGGCGGTGTAATGGTTAGCAAACTTGTCTCACTAGACCAATTACGACAAAGTAGTGAGTTTGATTCTCACTGGGTGCCCCCTACTTTCGGCCTTGTGCCGCATCTAAGCTATGCTTGGAAAATCACTATAAATACGTTCAGGCTACTAGGCTGGTGACGCAGTATCACATATGTACAGTTGAATTGGCTCGATATAAACGTAAATTCTACGCTAACAGTTTTGTTATTGCCCTTCTCGCTTGTGGATCTCCCTTGCGGTCCCATGCTTTCCCACCCAACATTAATCTTCAAAAATTTAAATTAAATGTCATTCTCTTTCTACGGTCTTTCTGATTAACCATGTTTAGACTCGCTCCTTTGTAATGTGTCTGTTTTCTAATTTTTTTCCACAATAAGTAACCCCTTGTAACTTAGCGACTTTTCTGCTTTCCATGGGGTGAACTCGATTAAACAAACGTAGGAGGAGACTGAAAAGGAAGCAAGGGAAAAGATAAAAGAAGTAAAAAAAGAAGGTGGACGGTGGGTGAAAAGAAAGAAAAACGAAGTGAGAAAAGGGACGAAAATAAACGACGAGATGTAGGAGGAAAATACATAAGAAAAAACAGAAAGAGGAGTGGAAAGAGGAAAAAGTAGAATGTCAAAGACGAAGTGGGGAAGGAGGAGAAGAAGACTCTCGAAATACGAATATGTAAAGAGAAGAGTGGGTAACAAAGAAAAGACGAATGAGAAGAGGAGGGGAAATAAGGCAATAAAAGAGAAGCGGAGGAAAAAGGGGGACGGAATTGGAAGACTAGGAGGATAAGACGGCAGGAAAAGGAGAATACACAGAAGACGAAGAAGGTGAAAGAAAATTATGAGAAGTAGGAGGGGAATAATTTTTTTAAAATGAAAGATGAAAGAAAACAAGAAAAACGAAGCGGGTGGGGGTGAAAATAGAAAAGAGGGATGGTAAGAGGAAGAGTGAACCAATCAGAAACGAACGCAAATGTCAGCGAAATATTTTTATTTCCTTCCGTTTCAGAACTGGTATCTTGAATTAATGACGATAAATAAATGATTATAATGTATTTTGAAATACAAACTATAAAGAGATACTAATGTGTATTAAAACAGTCCATTAAACACACTATTTCATCTAATTCATCCGAATTTGAATGGATAGATTTTGATTATTCAAAAAAATGGTTGACCGACTAACCCAAATTTAAAAAATTTAAATGCAACATCAATCACTATCTTTCGCGTAACTGAACTCTCTTCCTTTATTGTCTTTTCCTTACTTTCCCCGACGAATATGCTGTCTTTCTCTTTCTCCCCTGTAAACCCCAGCGCCCATGTGACATTGTCGCCTTATTTGGAGTAAAACGTTGAAAAATAAATAATACAATTTACCTCTTTCTCTATGCTTATTGTATATGTTAGAAAATAGGACATACAGGAAAAAACTACAAAGTACAATTTAGTATTATATGTATATAGTCATCCACAGACAGTCTGTATCGCAGCTTATCAGTGTGGTTCGACGTCCTGTGGCTTGCTAGGTGAATTGGCGTCATTCGGTGATTCTACCACCAAGCCATTGGCGCACGACAGGTATGAAGGTGAATTTAATCGTATTTATTTTTAGATAAACACAGTGACTGTGAGAACTCGATTCGATTTACAGAAGAGTCATGCATTATTAGCCGTAATAGTCAATGTCTACAAACTCACACTCCGTCCCTAGAGAGCTCAACCAAAATAATTTTTCAGGCGCATATATTGTCATCCACAAACTTTTCCGCTATATCAGAACTCATCAGTGTGACTAGACGTCCGGTTGTCTTTAGCAGAGGATCGAAACCAGCATATATATATATATATATATATATATATATATATATATATATATGTGTGTGTGTGTGTGTGTGTGTGTGTGTGTGTGTGTGTGTGTAGATATATAGAAAATAGCAAATAACTCGTTAGGTAAATAATCTAAACTTCTTTGGTATTTTTGTTATTATTTAAAAAAACAGTGCTCGATACAAAAGTAGAGCCTCAATATAATTATTTATTTAAAAATATATCATATTTTTAAATAAATAATTACACACACACACACACACACACACACATATATATATATATATATATATATATATATATATATATATATATATCTTTGGTTTTTCAGGAGGGGCACTTTTTCTGATTTGAATTAATTTATGAGCCTTTTGTTTCGCATTTAATATAAAATAGTAAGGGTATTGGAGTGTCTTGAAAGAATTTCCAGTGTATTTCTCCTCTTAATGTACATATTAAGGGCTGCAAATTCTGAGTGCTCTTAAGTATTATCTGATGATTATTCCTGATTTTATTTATTGTTATTGGAATAAAAAAAATATTAGATCAGTTTTAATCAGTTGACATTTGGTGGACACAACGTTTAAGATGCTGCTGTCAATACCGTAGAGCAAGATATCTAGGAAAGTTAAAGTATTGTATTCTTCCATTTCGTATGTAAATTCTATTGAATATTCGACTTTGTTTATTTTATCTACAAAATCCGATAAATCAGTATCACATGTATATATTAATAGAGCCTCATCACTATACCGGAAATATGTTGATTGATTTGGTAAAATATTTTGAAAAGGACCTGATTCGAGAAATTATAAATAAGCATCTGTCTTGCCTAATAAATCAATCTTCTGAAATAGCAGCCGATAACCTCAAAGACATAGGAAAATTAAGCTTTGAACCATTTTATCTTAGAAATGATTAAAGATATTTTACTAAAATTCTAGGATTTTTTTTTTAACACTGATGGACTCTAATCTGGACAATAAGAATTTATTTACCTCTAAACTGAAAGGATGACTTCTCTTCCTGTTGTGACTTCCTGATGCAGTTTTCCTCTCTAGTGTTCCGTCTACTTTAAACTTATTCACCATTCCCTTGATGGAATAGACATTAAAGATGGAAGCCAGTGTATTATTCTTGGTACCATTACTGAAGACCTAAATGATATTTTTCCGTCTCCCAATTGCTCCCTTAGGAAAACATAGTGGGGCTAACACAAAATGATTTTAACCTGTTCTCTTCCTAACCGAATGACTCACAGGGTTTTGTCAGTCATTCTTACGACAAATGGCGCCAAGATGGCTTAACGCCTTATCTAAAAACCGTTTTTTTTTTAAATTAAATATTTTGTGGGGTGGATAGTTATCCCGTGCTGTTACAAGATTTTGACAAGTTTGCTGTTACACCGGTATATATATATATATATATATATATATATATATATATATATATATATATATATATATATATATATATATATATATGCGATTAATACACATAAAATTCAGAAGATCAATATTAGTCTCTTAAACTTTTTTGTAATTATTCAATGTAATCTTCAGGAGTTTTCTGCAATAAGCACATGCAAATATATATGGTAAAATATATATTGCTAACGTACAATGAGGCATTATCTAGGCAGACAAGGGAGCAATGGAAATAGGTAAAACGTTCATTTTTTATTCTCACCTATGCTAAATAAAACAATCCTTCTAATATAAAAACAGACTGTTTGACATCGTTATCTATCTATCTATCTATCTATGTCACCTTGTCCATTATCTATCTATCTATCTATCTATCTCACTCTATGGTCACTCTTTTCTCTTATTCATATTTTTTCTTCGAAGTCATTCTTTTCAACTGATTCTTTTCTCTATATTGCTGCAGGTATCATTCTTTCTTTTATTTGCATCATATCTTGCCCTTCCCCCTCTCTCCCTCACTCTTATTCTCTCTGTTTATCTCTCTCTCTAAACTGACTATTCTCTTCGAATAACGATCTCACGTATTTTTTCTACATTTTTTTTCTTTATCCCAGCAGTTTTCTTTCAAACTGGATGAATTTATTCACCACAAATCATCGAATAGAATCACTGAATCAGCTATAATTTCAAGATTTAACTCGATTAATAAAAACAGGGATTTAATAATATATCACATTTTATAGTTAGTACACCGAGAAAATAATATTAAATAGATAGTGTTTAAATATATTAATATCCTGATTAAATACTATAATTTCTTTAACATTTAACCATGTATTAGTTTTATTTTACTTTCATTGATTTTCACGTATTGGTTGTTTTTTATATCAATACTTTAAGAGACGAAATGGCGCGTGAAGTCACGATGTTTGAAAAGCGATGAAAATAATATGACATCAAAATGAAAAATAAGAAAGGCGAAAGTCTTCAGACATTGGACAATTTATATATAAAACGTCACCGTAAACTAGGAAAATGGTGTGAAATCTAGAAAGACAAGTCATATCACAGAATCTTCAATGTTCTTTAATACATACATATATATATATATATATATATATATATATATATATATATATATATATAGATAGATAGATAGATAGATAGATAGATATAGGTATAGATATATATAAACAGGAAATAAAATCTGCCTGACACCAATAAGAGCGTCCCAACTATCGCATAAACTGACTGCATCATCAAACTCAAGGAAAATGAGAAAAAACATTAGTTACTTGCTGAAACCGCCTGAAGACTGTATCATACTAATGTAATAGAGTTCATCTACGAAACTCTAAAGTCGGGGTGCTGTTTATTACATCGATCAGCTAAATGGCAAATTTATATATGCTCTCGTTCGCAGTTTGAAAACTATGGGGAAAAGGGAATTTTAACGGTCGCTGATGCTTTAAATGAATCGCTCTTCGTAAGAAGTTAGTTCTATGGCGGCTGGTATGGTGTTTATATGTCACGTATATAATGCGTTAAAAAGTCTGTTGCGCCGATAAGTAAGGGTCTGATGTTAAAGCGGTCGAGTTTTGATCCGGAATTTGAAGCAATCAGATATCTAGCCACACTAATGAGCTGTGATACAGCGAAACAGAATTTGCATGAATATATATATAAATATAGGCATGAAACATCAACGCACTTGTAACGCTGCATATATATATATATATATATATATATATATATATATATATATATATATATTCAGCGTTGTATAAGTGCGTTGATGTTTCATGCCTATATTTATATATATGTATCAAACATGTACATCACTATATATATATATATATATATATATATATATATATAATCATTTATTTAAAAATATGATTCCAAATCGCGACATAAGAAGTCCTATGTTTCAAAACAAGAGCCGAAAACTTCAATATAATTATTTAAATTATTTAAATTAAATTGAGTTAAAATAAGCTCTGTTCCATCTTCAAGCGAAATTTTTTTTGGAATAACGTGTTTCTGAAATTTACGTGTTTTAAAAATTGAAATCAAAATCTCCATGGTAACAGCTAGGGCGAATTGTTTAAGTTGGGTAGGCGGGTGTTTATAATAAGTATCAGTATAGAGTTACTTTCGTAGATGTCAAGTCAGTGAAAGGTGGGGGTGTCTAAATTTGAAACAGAAGATGTATTAACCCTCGTCTAGTTTGCATGTCTATGGAGATTTATTTATTTTTTTATTTTATTTTTTTATGAAAGGGATTTGTGCATATAAAAAAACAAAAAAACAAACAAAAACTGTCGTAACGTTTGTTTTTTGACGACTTCATAAAGGGTTATCTTTTTGTAGGGTATTTAAACTATTTATTTCGGCTGTGGATTATGAAGGGTGTTATATTGTATGCATGTTTTTAGTTAATTATTCAAATCATGAATCTGATGAGTGGGCTATGGTTTAAACAAGTTATTATATTGTATATATATATATATATATATATATATATATGCCTATATTTACGTGTAAATTTAATGCTTCCTGCGTAGATTAACGGAGTATAAATTCAGGTTAATTTTTTTTTTTTTTTTTTAAGCATTTCACCCCAAGCAATGCGGGATGTCACTAGTAAGCAGGGGTTTACAGATTGGGAACGAGAGTAAAAAGGTGTGATGGAAGAAAGGATGAAGAGAAGGGCAAGGGATAGTTCAGGGCATCTGGAGATATCGCTTCACATTACATTTGAATAGTTGGAGATTATAGCTATCAGGGAAACAAATAATAGGTAGGGAGTTCCACAGATGGGAGTTGCGAGACATGAATCTATTGGAGTAGAAGAGACAGCCACATTTAACAGTTTCGAAAGTGAAAGGATGGGGCCGTGATGCCAGCCTTGTAGCACGCTTAAACTCGTGCAGGCTGGGAACTAGAGACAGTAGTTCGTCAGAGCAGTTACCGTGAAAGTATTTGAAGAAAAGACAGACGGAGGCGACGGGGCGTCTGTGAGAGAGCGACTGTAGACGAGATGCCAGATCAGGGCCAGTCTCATTGCATATCCGTCTCTGGATTTTGTCGAGGACCTTAAGGCGAACAGCGTGAGCACCAGACCATATATAGCAGCAGTATTTCATGCAAGGGCGAATGGTTGATTTGCAGATTTGAAGGGTTGGATTCGAGCGAGAAAAACTGTTTGCCGCGACACAGAGTATGAGAATAGATTAAAAAAAAATGATTAGTTAATAAAAGCATTAGAAATATGAAAATACCATTAGAAACAAAGAAAAAGGCGCTGAACTTTTATGTCGTATCAATCTTCACTGAACGATGTCCAATAAACGCAGGAAAGACTTTATGTAATAGAAATGTGATTCTATAGAATCATGTTGAGAATACCACGAACTGAATATCGGTATAACTAAGAGGTAAGGGAATAGAATAAAAAAAAATGTTTATCCTTTGAGCAAGAAAGAGATATTTTAAATTTCTCGAACACATAATGAGAAAAGGGCTCTCGGGAATTTTTGTTCCTACATCGGGATAACGACCTCGGTCTGCTCACATTAAACCGACCTTGTGTCACAAACTGACCTCGTGAAGGTTGAGTAAATACAAAAATGAGAAAAGAAGGCTTGGTGAATTTGACACTCAAAGACAACAGAGACATAATAAAACAGCCAGTATGCTCGCTAACAAGCTCGTCACAATGAATGACAGGACAGAGAGTGGGGATTGATGGTGAAAACAAAATTGTGTTGTTTTTTTTAACTAGGCTATTTAAACTTGAAAAATTCAATTTCAGTCGTATGATAAATATTTAATATTGTCACTCAGATGTCTATCTAAATAGATAATTTATTTACTGTCTGTGATATTGGTAGGTTATATAAATATTTAAATTACTCTGCCTTGCGTTACAGCTGAGGTTCTTGTGTATTTTTTTCCTGTAACATGTCCGAACCTGCATAAAAAGTAAAGATTTCGAAAGCTGATTTTTGAAGTGAAGCACATCTTTTTTTTTTCAATTAATGTAGTTGAGGTAGCAGAATATCGCAATATTTTTTGTGCTCAGCTCTAAGCTTATTTAATATTAATTGTCAACTATTTTGGAGATCTCTCTTTGTTTCGGCTTAGTGTTCATATCTTTTGTCAATGTGATTTCATGGCACAAAGTTCGGAATAAAAGTGGAAAGCTCTTGAGTACCCGTTTTTGAGCTTCGGTCTTAAACGCAATCTGCAAGTGAATACATCTTTTGAAGTATCTTCAATCGTCGAATCGACAGCTACACATCGGGGGGTAACGGTAGTTATTGTTCCTTTTCATTGTGCTGACTCGTGGAGCCGCATGAAGTTTGAGTTGATTCAATAAGAAATATTATTATTATTATTACTATCATTATTATTATTATTATTTTCACTAGATGTTTTTTCACACCAGCAATAACCAACATACCAGTAAAAAGAAGAACGGAACATTAGAACTACAAATTGGAAATGTTAAAATCCCGCATGTACAAAAATGTAAACGTCTGTTAAGTATTTTAACATCGGACAGAAAAAGTGAGACTGAAATTCAAGGTTGCATTGTAATATGGAAAGGCACCTTCCAAAATCCGAAAGCGTGAAGAAGCAAAACAAAGTCGTTAGAAACAAAGAAAAGAAGTGTTGAATTGATATGTAACATTGCTGCTCCAATATGACAATGAATGCTTGAAAATCTCTTCACAAATGAAGAAGAGGCTTGTGACAAAAGAATTATTCTGCTCTAGAAGTAGGCTGAGCGTACCATGAAATGAATATGTGAGGAATGAGGAAGTTTTAAGGCCAATGCAAACAGGGAGAACGATTTTATTTAGAATCAAGCAGAAAAAAATTGAAATTTCCACCTCAATCTTCTTTTTCGGTCTTTCTCTCTAAATGTATTACGCTCTCCTCGTCACCCTCTTTCTTTAAATATTTTGCCTATTCGTTCTCAACCTAACCCTTTAAATATTTACCCATCGTCCTACCTAAGCCCTATCTCTCTATCTTCGTAACACTCTTTCCTCTTCAGCCATATTGTTTCATCTCTCATTACCCTCCTTTCCTCTCAACCTCTCTCTATCTATCTCTCTAAATTATTGCCTATTTTATCAGTCTATTTAGCTATCTTTATATTTCACTCCTATACCCATCTTTATCCCTTTCTTTCTTTCTCTCTTCTTTCTTTACTTCTCTTTCTTTCTCCGATTCTTTCTCTCTACCTTTCTTTCTTTTTCTCTTTCTCTCTCTCTTTCTTTCTCTCTCTCTTTCTTTCTCTCCCCCTCTCATTTTTATCTCGTTCTCTCTCTCCCTCTCTTTCTTTCTCTCGATCTCTATCTCTCTCTAAAATCTTTCACACACTTTTCATCACACACTCTCTCTCTCCAAATATTTTCTTTTTCCTCCACTAAAAAAAAACCTTCTACTTCTCTCACATAATTTTAATTATCTATTTATGTTACATAGCCCACTTGTGGGGGTGATCTTGGACGACAGCGTCAATTCGATAATAAAGTTCCATTCTTCTCTCTCGGCATAGGACCGATATTTTTTTTTCACTCCAGGGTTAAAAGAACTTAAACACGGAATTTTAAGTTAACTATTCTATTAAGTTTTATGTCTACATGTTCTAGCTATCCAGTGGGGGTCGTTCCCTCTCCATTGGGGGTCGTTCCCTCTCCATTGGGGCGCAGTTTCAGACACGAAAGCGAACACGTCTACATTTTTGACGGTTAAAAAACAACTCATGACATCTTTTTCCTACGCTAGCTCAGCCAATCAAAGTTGACTTCCCTTATAATGGCATGTATCTGACATCATGCTCAACCTCAGGAAGTCCGAGGATACATATACTCTAAAAAAAAAAATAGTCTATTATTTAACATTTAACCAGTATCGTAATGACATAACAGGTGCATGCACCTCAGAAAAAAACCGCGCGACAACGTGTTCAGGTTTTGATAAAACAGTGCATAAAGTTGCGGGTGGAGCCTAGTTCGAAATAACTTCAGATCAGTTTAAAAAGTCAGATCAGTCTCCTATGTCACCATGCATTCTGATTACTTTAAATTAAAAAAAAAACAAACTCCCAAAGCCGGGTCATAAACAAAGATGCACAGACGTTCAAATGGTTTACAGGCAGCTAACATACATATTTGTTTAGTGGACGCGATATTTAATTTAGCGCGCCTTAATTCAAGAAGCGAACATATTGACATATTAAAACATCAAAATAATTAAGATCAGAAACTAGAAAAGCCATCCGTTATGTATCATCAGGACATTATTATTATTATTATTATTATTATTATTATTATTATTATTTTGTATGTTAAATTCCTTGTAGCCTGTAGATCCTGTCCCAAACCATGGTCCTTATGCCCTATACGAGAATTGCCAATTAGTTTCTGTCTATATTTCTGAGATGAGGTATTATGTACATTATTCGGACTATTGTCCTCATCTTTGTCGCCATATTTGTTACAAGGACACATGGCACAGTGGATAAATCCGTTGGTTAGATCCAGTGACAGGACCCAATGAGTGTGAGTTCAATACCTGGTTAAGGCAGTGGAGAACTTTCAGAGAGAAATTAAAAGGTGATAACTGATTACTGACAGCCATTAAAAATGACACATGGAACTAGAACAGTACACCCAAGTGAGCGAAATAAAGGGTTCAGTTCGACATTCCAACCTCCTGAAGAAGGCCGGAGCGTACAACGGTCGAAACGTTTGTAATAAATATGGCGACAAAGATGAGGACAGTAGTCCGAATAATATAAATAATGTCAATTAGTTGATAGCACTTTTCTTGATATATGGTATATTCCTAGTAGGGCGATTTTCTGGGCAACTTGTATGCTAATGTTAGCTGCAACACTGTTAGTAAAATTGTCCATTCCTTTTCTCACGAGGCCCAGGGCTTCGATTACTATTGGTACAGCCTCAGTCTTCATTCCACACATCCTGTTAATCTCGATTACCATGTATTTGGAAAATTTTTCGATAATTTTCGTGGCGAATTTTCTCTCAGATGGTACTGCTATGTCAATAAGATTCATTTTCTGAATTTCTTGTCTTTTATGATAATATCAGGTCTGTTGTCATTCATGTCTCTGTCAGTTTGAATTGGCATATAACAGAATTTTCTTCATACTTGAATGTTGTATTCCGTCTCTTTGATTTATTCCTAAGTATTTGTATGCACAATCTTGGTCTAGTTTCTTAATCTTATTGATATCAAGGTCTAAATCTGTAGTTTTCCCCTCCTCCTCCACCTTCTTCTTCTCCTTATAATAATAATAATAATAATAATAATAATAATAAATAGCCTATGATTTCTGTTGTATATTAATATGCTTCCGGGTCCCAGCGAGAGACCTAAGCTCAGAAATACCATCATGACATTTTCCACTGAATATTTTTGTAAAAATTTTAAAAAATTAAATAAAGCAATCTAAGATTTTTCCTTCTCTAATCTGTCTAGGAGTTCTTATATGCTTCTTTCTCTGGCTGTCAGCGAAACGAAAAACATGTCTGCGCATCTTATATTGTTAAAATTACCGTAGCGATACTGATTCTGGTAGGCACAGCGATACTGATCCTGGTAGGCACAGCGATAAGATTCTTGTAGGCACGGCGATACTGATTCTGGTAGGCATAGCGATACTGATCCTGGTAGGGTTTCTCTGGCTGTCCGTGCATTAAATACTTTTGTCATATCAGGTCTGATATTTCTGATATACATCTCGAGATTCTTGAAAATATTCAAAGAATAGTCTGTAATGTAATCGATCTTGGCCAGCTATCTCGACTTCGGTCACTTTCTCTGACTTTTCTACAAATATTTTCATGGATGCAACCGATACTTCTGCTCTAACAGTTTCTTTTCTCTCACTTCGCACCTGTGGAACTCACTTTCAATTTCTTGCTTCCCTGATAACTACAATCTCCAAAAGTTTAAATGAAACGTTAATCGCAATATTCTATCTTTCTTGAACATTGTTTCTTTATTGTCCTTTTCTTTAACAATACCTACTAAAGACTTCTCATTCTCTTTTCGTTCCCTTTAAACCCCTGCGTCCTAGTGGATTTATCGCCTTTGGGTTGAAACTAAAAAAACACAAACTTTCAGAACGACCTCGGATTTTTTTCTTCCCTTTTGGAGACAACAACAGTACAAGCTTCCGAATCTAAAAGGATTTTTATTTAAAGCGCTTATCTAATGATAGGCGCTTCTTACAAACTTGGTGTCCTAAAAGTATTTCGCAAAATGCTTCAAAAATGTAAGTGAAGTCGTATCTTATTGTAAAACAATCACTCTTGATACGTTGGTACTGTTTTACATAGACGTTGAAGTTGCTGAAAATAGGCGACATAATAATAAACTGATAAACAGGGAATATAGTCGATGTCTGTGCCATATTCTTTGGCTTATTTACGAGTACCAAAGGCAGACTTTCTGACAAAATTCTTCATATTATGTTTCCGAGGAAAGGACGGATGACATAACTAAAGACTTTACAATTTTTATTAAGTGCGAAACAAAATTAACTCTTATTTTGAAATCTCTTGTTTATATATATATATTTTTGGTTCTATTTATTAAAATAAACGTGTTGAATAAATATTTACATGGAACCGGTTTTATAAAGAACAGACAAACAACATTTTTTTTTCTCGCGCGAAAATAATAAATCGAATATAAACTTTAAAACGAATATAATTTTCTTCTTGAAAATCTCATTTTAAAATCGGGCAGGATTTTTTCCTGTTTGTTCTCTAGGTTTTAAAAAAAATATTTCTTCATTTTTATTTACTGATATTTTACAATCCCCCTCCTAAATCTAATCGACAAAGGGGAGTGTAATTAGATGGAATAGGGGCTGGAGAAACTCAAAGCAAACAGAGCAGGGGTCGTTGTTGACAACAATCAAACTGGAATCGAAAATAGTCTAACAGATTATCTGTTAGATTTTCATAAAAAGCAACTATTTTCAGGCGAAGATCAAAGGGCATTGTTACTAGATATATATATTTTTTTTTTTTGAATTTTACGAAAACCAATTTTGGCAGAAATATTTTAAATTATACGTCTCGGAACTTTTCAATGAGAAAATATTAAAGACAAACACTTACATTAAAAAAAAATGATTATGACGAGCAACAAGAAACGGTTATATTTTATTTATTTTTGATGTAAGCCAAAGTGAATAATCACTTCTACATACGGGCATCTTCTTCGTCTATGAGCCGTATCCCTTCAGGACGTTGGCGATCATTTTCCTCTTCTTTGTAGCTCTTAATAAATTTCACTTTATGCTATCTCTGCTAAACCGTTCTGCAATCCATTTAATCAAGTTCGTTAGGTAGGTTACGCATTGAATTCCTCAGCCCCTCTTATCTTCAATACATCCTGTAAGTATCAAATTTTCCAAGCCATCTTTCCTCATATTGTATCGGAATAATTTCAACTACCTAGTTCTGATGTTAATTATAAGGATACTTTATGTTCGGCCCATGGCATCCTTCTATGGGAATACATTTCATTTGTTTTAAGTCTCTACTTCACCTGCAAGGAGATAGTCCATCATTCACTACAATATAGAAGGATTGATATTAGGTAACATTTCAGTATTCTTTACAGATTTTCGACGAAGTGTTTTCAGTTTCTAAACAATAATTCAAACCACATTTTTTTTTATTACAGTGTCTTTACTTATTTTGTATTTAAATGTTTTTAAGTACATAACTGTCCTTGATTTTTCTGGATCGATAATATCTGTTCAAGAAGCCAATCTTATTGAAAACAATGACAATATGTAATGAAATGTTTCAAAAACACGTCTTTAATAACAGTAATTTCTTCTGCAATCCATTTACTTAGGCCCGTTAGGTAGGTTACGCGTTGCTTTCCGAAGCTCTTCGTATCTTCAATACATCATGTAAGTATCAAATTTTCCAAACCCTCTTTCCTCAAACTGTGTCGTAGTAATTTTAACTATCTCGTTCTGATGTTAATTATAAGGTATCTATATAGAGATGACGGCCTTGTCCTGATAAAGGAACACAATGGCCCCAAATTAGATTTAGGAAAAACAGTAAACTCCTTAGAAACAACTGGAATAGAAATAACTGCAGGTTCAAGCACAGTAAACTTCTTAGACGTCACTCTCAACCTGAACAAAAACATATACGAACCTTACAAAAAAAATAATGACACCTCACCTTATGTACACACATCCTATAACCACCCAACTTCAATCATCAAACAAATGCCCATATCAATCAGCCGCAGGCTATCTGAAAACTCATCAAACATGGACATTTTCCATAACAAGATAACGCCACTAAAAAAAGTTTATACACACATGTACAATAAACACCTCCACAACCGAAATTCAAAAAAACAGAAAAAGAAAACATTATCTGGTTTAACCCATCATACAATAAAGACGACAAAAGAGAAAATAGAAAAGTACTTACCTTCAACAAACCGCTTAGCAGAAATATTCAGCAAATATAAGGTAAACATTAGTTACACCTGCACAAAAAATTATAAAACAAATAATAATAAAAGTCACAACAAATAGTAACAACCTGCAATAACGCTATCAAGTAACCTCAATGCAACTGCAGAAATAAAACATGTACACTCCAAGGGAACTGCCGACAAACGAATATAATATATAAAGCCAAGGTAAGTGCAAACTACAGTACAATGTACTACATCGGTGCAAATAAGGGACCATTCAAGAAAAGAAAACACAACCACGACCACGTATATATGTGTGGGCAAGGAAATATTATTTCCCAAACAAAATAGACGAATGATCTGTACGTTGACACTTGGAAAGTTCGCTGCACAATCCAAAATTGAATAATAGCGACCAATTGCGTACGTATGCGCGCAATGACATTTGGATGCGCATATACCCCAGTCACATACTGTTCATATATCCATACGTTTGTGTGAGCTGCAATGCCTGAACTTGCTTGATGATGAAAACAGATACTTCAGAAATCCATGGTATTATGGATTTCTAAAGTATCCATTTTCATCGTTATTATTTGCTGTGTTCTTACATTGAGCTCTCCATACAAATTATCGAACAATATATATATATATATATATATATATATATATATATGAGATCATGGGTATGACCTAAAATTACAACCGACAATGGAGTCTCGACTAGAATTAGAGTATCCCCAAACTTTGTCACCTACGAGTGGTCCCTGGCTAAGATGTAACACCTGTTTGCCTCCTACTAGGGTTACGGTATTTTATTTTTTTCTTTTGTATGTGTGTGGCGGCATTGATATGTGTGTGCGTGTGTGTAACTCAAATAGGTGAAGGGTCGGGAAATGAGTGGAAAGGAGGGAAAGGTTTTTCTTTTCCCTCGCCGGATGATTAATATGAATGAAAATGGAGGTAAGTGTAAGAAGAATGTGATATCTGTGTACGTGTGTGTGGGTATAAGTCTCGGAGTGGTGGGGGTCAAATCTGTACTTACCCCTTCAAGCCAAGCACGCCGCCATATTCCTGATCAGATAGAAATTATGGCTGTGATTCTTTCCTTTTTTATGGAAGAGCGTACACTGCTCGTGAACCGGAAGTCAAACGCGAGTGGACAATAAATTGCCAAGAAGAGTCGCATGGTGTGTAGTTTGGAAGATGGAAAAAAGTGTATCTGACGGAAGGTACACAAGCCGATACCCGATCAGTATCGACTGGGTCACCGTGAAGAGAGGAGGCATGATGTTGAAAGACCCGAAATCCCTAATGAACCTCGGCTTGAAACATCACTGATGATGTGTACTAAAGTAGCCAATAGATGTATTTTAAGAACTATATTTCGTCTGCCTAGTTTGAATATTCGAGACATCTTATTAAAGTAAAATGTTTAATTTCCGGCAGGAGTCGAAACTAGGCAAGAGAAACCGACGTGATTTTTCACGTTTTTCAGACACTCTCGGCTACGAAGTGCGTTGGTGATCAAGCGAAATTAAATATAAAACCTAACTTTCTCAGACTCTCGATATATTCATATTGCTTTATTTACGTTAGGACATGGAACTGAGCAAATACGAACGTTCGAATCCTAGTGAAGGACCCTTATATTATTTTTAATAAATAAATTGGGTGCTATATATTAGTATCCACTAAAAATAACCTTTTACGGTAACAAGGGTGAGCTGAAAATTATATATATATATATATATATATGTGTGTGTCTGTGTAAAAAGTATGTGTATATAAATATTAACATAAATATATTATTATTATTATTATTATTATTATTATTATTATTATTATTATTATTAATATTATTATTATTTATATATTATATGCACTGTATTTATTAAAATGCACTCAATACCAGAGATAGAACAAACATATTTGGTTTGTCTGACGATCGCAAAAGCGTGAAATGCAGGAACACAAACTCCTATCAATACAACCATATATATATATATATATATATATATATATATATATATATATACACCTATGTATATATGTATGCACATATTTATGTATGTGTGTGTGTGCATTTAGTGAGATATACAATCTGGACATAAGTCTTGATTACTACCCAAACTCTACATATCTTTACATGACCTGATATTGAAAAGTCTCCCCTTTTAAAATATAACAAATATTAAAAAATATGTGTGTGAGTGTGTATTGCACGATTTATATTTCAATGTCCGTTTATCTCAACGCTCTTGTATGTCTATAATTCCATTGTGTTCATAGCTGCCTATTTCTCTCTCTCTAGCTATCTCTCTCTCTCTCTCTCTCTCTCTCTCTTTGTCAGTAGATCTATCATTCGGCAGATCTATTTATCTATCTATCTATCTATCTATCGATAGCTTTATCATTTGGTAGATCTATCTATCTATTTTTCGGTTGGTCAATCATTGTGCAGATCTATCTATCTATCTATCTATCTATCTATCTATCTATCTATCTATCTATCTATCTATCTATCTCATGCTATCCATATCTATCTACGTACCTATATATCTATTTCTGAGGCAGTCTTCTATCTTACTTTCTAAAACTATTCTTTGCTTTCTTTCTTTCTTTCTTTCTTTCTTTCTTTCTTTCTTTCTTTTTATCTATCTATCTATCTATCTATCTATCTATCTATCTATCTATCTATCTATCTATCTGTCTGTCTGTCAATCGATCAGTATATGAAAATGACTATAATCTTGATTGCCAAAACCCTTTCTGAAGTTATTTGTTTCTGTATTTAATTTAATGTCCACCATTTTCTATATATTTACCGCCTTTTTTCAACTTATCTCTCTCTCCTTCCCTCTCTCTCACTCCCTCTGTCTGACTTTCACTTCTCTACCTCTCTGCTCTTCTCGTTCTCTAATCTATCCCTTGTCCCTTTCGTTTTCCTTTTCATATCCACTCTTTCCTACATTTACGTAGTCGCGTTAGTCTCTTTCTCTTTGTTATATTCAATTTCCTTCACACATGACACCAAGGTCATTATTAGTACAGTCGCCCGCATCTCATAGATCACGACACACGCGTGCACAAACACACACACTCACACACACAAACATACAAATATACATACATATATATATATATATATATATATATATATATATATATATATATATATATATATATATATATATATATATATATATATATATATATATATATATATATATATATATATGTATGTATGTATGTTATAATTCCTGTCATCTGACCGTATCGATGTGCGACAAAACTACTTATATTCCGTCCATTCACTCAAATTACACATAATAGGTATATTAGAACTTATCGATGAGAAAATATTTAATTTCGATAATGTACAAAAGATTGAAATATGACCTCAAGTGTTGATCGGCCAAACTACAAGAAACTTCCAACTTCCAGCGTGACTTTGGTTAAGCAGTAATTTCGTTTGGTCGATTTTGTTTAGCGGCATATCAAACTCTATGGATTATTTAATGCCGAAATCGAAATATTTTGAACACAGTCGTATGTAGATAAAATGTATTGTTAGTCATATTGTTATAAAATGCATTGTTGGCAATTCTACTAAAAATGACTTGCTGGAGATTTTGATATAAATATATATTTTTAGTAAATAGCCTTCGTCCTTAGCCTTTCTTATCTAAAGATTGATAGTAAAATTCAGTGATGTCTGTTAACTTATCAACGATTGACCTGGAGAAACGGAAGCCATATTGTTTATCCGAAAGGAGGCCGTATCAAGCAAGATGCTTAATGAGTTCGGCGTTGGTTAAAATCTCAAGTATTATTGAAGGTACAAGTAAGAGACTACAGAATCTGAGGCATCAGGAGGTTTCGTTGACGTTTTAAAGTTATAAACTACAGAGGAGGACTTCCAACAAGCGGGCAAAGCAAGAAGTAGCGAGGACTTTACAGATACCTGTTCACAACTGCATTCCTTTAAAACAATTGCAGGGATAAATTTGAATCCGAAAGCCGTACAGAAATCTAAGTGGAGGGGCTTAGAATTTTCTATTGTTTAGCAAATTCTTGCAGATTTGTTAGTAATCTCTAAAAGCAAAATTTTGAGTGGAAATACTGTGACAGATTCTCTCAGCGAATACTGATTTTGACTCTTTGGGGACACGGTTATATATATTAGGAGCGATGACATAGTGACGTTTGTTTCAATCGAACCGGTTGTTCTGGAATAGCCGGAAGTGATTCCGGTGTGCTGTAGTGGCTGAACAGCAGCAGAAAACCAAGGAGAAGAATGCGGTTTCACACGGTATTTCCGTGCTGACACGAAAGCTTCGAAGCAGACTTTCACCAAGGAAGAGGCTTGAGTCTAAACGGGATATCATTTCAAGGGACATCGCGAAGGAAATGATGAAAACATGCAATAAATGATGGATATTTATTTACATTACAGATTTAGACGAAACTTGAAGAAAAAGAGGTGTCGTTATACAGAAGGATTCTGAGAATCTAATTAAATGCGATAGCATGCTGATCGCAGTGAAGACTTGAAACAAAAGATATGTTGTTCTACAGAAGGATGCTGAGAATTTACTTAAATGCGATATCATGCTGATCCCAGAGAAGACTTAAAGCGAAATGGATCTGGTTTTTGCAGAAAGATAATGAGAATCTAGTTAAAAGCAACACCATGCTGGATCCCAGTGGAGAGTTGAAGCAAAAGAGATGTTTCTACAGAAGCATGCTAAGAATTTTGTTAAATACGATGTCGTGCTGAATGAGGAGGCTTAAAGTGAAAGTAATATGGTTCAATAGAAGGAAGCTGAAAATTCACTTAAATGCAAAAGAGACATGGTTCGAAAGAAGACAGCGAAATATTAAAATTAAAATTGGAACAAAAAGAACACCTTCATTTATAATTAGAAGAATACAGCTATAATTTCTAGGTAGGATGGCTTGAAGAGTTTGACCCACGCAGGGTATACAGGGAAGTAAAATAATAGATAATAATCCATCAATAATCTGTTTAATATTTGGAAGCAAAAGGATAAAATTTATATGATAAAATGTCACCAGTTACTTAGAAAAACATAAAATAAAAAGGAGTGGAGAGCCATGACTTCTTATGTATGGAAAATGTTGTGGATTCTGGGTTGAAATCCGGTACCAATAAATAACAAACGCCAGGAATTAATATATGAAAATAATGTATTAACGTAATAATACAATCTGGTAAAGCAGGTTAGTAGTTCCAGGAATACGGGTTAGTAGCAAAATATCAATACAGACTTTGGTATTGAAATATCGCTGTATGACTTCTTACTGAGTTTACATGCTCGCTCACTGTAACGCCTACAACGCTGTTACCTCACCCTCACTCTTCCGGTTATCTACAACCTTTTACTCTGTCACTTTGGACTCGACTCGACGGTCTAGCTCTGTCTTGTCTTCACGTAGCTGTAGTATATGTGTATACTGGGTGAGTCCATTTGTGTAAAAAGGGGAGAACCCCTTAACCGAAATTTTCCGTGACAAAGGATTTGCATATGCTGTGTTTGGTTTCAGTTGACCTGTATCATCTTCATTGTCATAAAAGAAAGGTCAGTGTTTATAGCTCATGCATTATGCGTTCCAAAGGTCGAGTGAAGAAGACAATTTCAATACCTACAAACATGTAGAAAGACCTTATGCCACTTTACTACCATCAAGGCGTACAGTGTAGGTGAATAGCTTGATGCCGAAGAATCTGCAGTTGCTTATGTCTAGTCACAGAGAAACCGAACAACAGGCAATTGCAATTAAAACGGGAAGATTTTAAGTTAGCTGAAGCAACCGATGTATCTAAAAGCTTAGTCTCTAGGCTCTTCAGCAATATACACACATTATAGGATTGAAGATAAACCTATACTCAAACCTACAGTATGAAACAATGTAGGCCTTGTGGCATATCCCAACACTATGGAATAGTGCTAAATGCCGCTATCAGAAGCTGCTACGTGTAGTGTCGGGTAATATGTGACACCAGGTTTACCTTACTATTACAGTAAGAACGACATCGTTAGTTTTAAATCCTGATGTAACGTCGAGAGTAATAGTAATAGATCTCTGAGAATCAGTATTTACCATTAGTAATTATCAAATATTATCAAATGTTTACATATTTTCTTTTTCTTGAGTGGACAGTCATTTTTAACGGGGGTACGAACTTAAATTATGTTTGTGTAGCAGTTAAATTGTGAAAAAAAAAAGACTCTGCAAAATGAATATAAATAATTATAGTGTTAACAAAGAAGATTTTTAAAAGTATAGATGTTCACAATATATCAAAATAAGTGGATTGGTAGAGCAAAAAGAGCAAATCATATTACACAGAATAAAGTAAAGAATTGAAAATTATAACAAACAACAAACAAAAAGGAATTTTGCATACGCTCGTCAATATGTCCGGTTCTGCGACTGAAAACACTTAATAAATATTCCGGTTTGTGCATTGTCTTTTAGCAGATATTTTTTTCATAGTTTCCAGTATAGCAAATTGAGATTATCGTTTGAAAATTTTTGAGACGATGTATGTTAAATCTAAGGAACCTTAAAGCAAAAGGAATGGTTAGTGGGTCTTAATGTAATACTTTTGTGATTCATATTTCTGGTTTGTATATATTTTCTCCCTCTTGATGTTTATCTTTTTGTACACATTTATAGATATTTCCTCGACTGAGCTCCGAAGAGCGATGAATGATAATTGGTTATCTCCTTTTTTGTTGTTTTTATTTGTTTGTTATATTTTTTTTCGATTCACTGTTTTACGGTCATTAATTTGTGTTTACTTTGCTCTTCTCTCATTGTTTTCCATACATGAAGCTGATATATACTTTTCGAAGTGGCCTTTTAAAACCATATTAATATGCTATACCACCGCTCAGATTATTTAACAGATCGCGACAGCTATTAGCTGATGTGATTATATATAATTTAATTTTTAAAGAAAAAATATTCATTATTATTGTTTAGGTAATAAGCATTATAACATAGCACAAATAGCTATATTATAAAAAAAGAGAATGTTCGACAATAAACGCATTTTTTAAGTATTTATGATTGTTTTTTAAATTTTATCAAAGACGACATTTTTATACATGTAGTTATGGATAATATTTTTAATTACTTTTTTAATGACTATTTATGCGCAGCTGTTGACTTTAATAACTATCTACCGACGTGTTAAAATTTTAGAATAATGCAATAAGAAAAAATTAAATTTCATCTCTCTGACAGATTTCGCCTTCTGAAAATAAAGAGTATTATACACCACATCTATGTAAACATTCTACAGTACACCAAATATAAGTTAAATGGTAGGAAGTGGATCAGTAAAAATCATTGTTATTCTCAAGAAATTGTTAATGCATTATTCACTTAAACATACTTATTTCTAAAATCCAATATATAATTCGTCTGTAGATAACCCACAATGTGTTGATATATCTTTAAAAATCAGTCGGTTGTAAATAAAATAAAATACCTGGGTCTTTTCAAAATGTAACCTCACGTTGAACTCTTAGACGAAGAATATACCTTCAGTCATTTTCCTTTCCATGATAATCATTCGGGTATAATTTCTGACGACATAGTTTTTCATAAATTATAACGATCGGTATCGTATTTAAATCATATGTCGCCTTTAAATAGAAATCTCACTATCCCCACGTAAGTTTAACGTGTAGCGCAACGTA